TGCGCTGACAAAAATTAGATAAAGGCGCATTGGGGCGTAGTTTCCAAAGAAGTCCTTGTAAACGGCTGTGTACATGAGAAAAGCTACAGAAAGTCACGCCAAGATAATCACGAGAATTCAGCTAAATGAAGGAAACATAATTCACGAATCACCAGTGTATAAGTGGGAGCTTGTGCATATGGCAGTGTAACGGCTTGATGCGTATACCGTGATATTCGTATGCATATCCAGTACATCTTTTGCAATAGACGATGGCTTGATGACGGTCAGAAATATTATGACTCCACATTCATCTCACTGGTCACGTTGGTGCTTTATGTCTCGGTGGAGCCAAAGCCATAAGCATTTAGATGCAGCCTTGTAAGATGTTCGGGCAGAGACAGATGATAAAAGTTACACGGTCGCATTATATTGCAATATGCGGCCCCTGCATTAACCCCGCATTGGGGAACCTCAGCCGCATTCCACTCACCGACTGAACGATCGAAACAAATTCAGCAAGCGAGTGAAAATAGTTCTTGAAGGAACTCAAATAAAATTCAATGAGATTATTATAAGAAGAGAAAGCGATAACAAGACGTAGCTCAGTAAATAAGCGAAGGCCATTAAGCGAGAAAGTTTGAGGGGAGCACAGATGGTAAGAGGCCGAACTTCCTGTGCACAAGTTTGAACTCCAATAAGAAGTCAGTGGTTCGTGGAGTCAATGCATAAGATTTGTTATAGGGTAAAGCGGCCAAGAAACGACAAGAAACACGTAAGATAAAATGCTTGGGCAGAGGCGGAATTGTACACAAATTTTATGCATTCCATTTTATTTATACCAAAGATAACAAAGAAAAAATAAGAGAGAAGAAAAGTCTATCTGCACCTCTCAAAGATGACCCCCGCAATCAAAGCAACATCATACCCCCGACCATGCTGACAAGGGTCACTGCAACAACCCCGAAAGCTCTCATATCAACCTCAGCATTTCTTCCACCAGCACTAGAGGAAGAAGATGTAGAGCTTGACGAACCGGCAGAAGCAGTGTACGTGACAGCACCAGAACCTGCGGTGGCAGTACCTTGAGATTCATTTTCAGTATCGCCAGCCTCTTGAGATCCAGCTCCATCCAAACCAGGTCCAGTACCCGCGCCTTCAGTCATGTATTTCTTAGCAGGAGTAGGGATGGCTGGAAGCGCATCACCGGAGACATCCCAATCAGAACTTTCGGTTGGACAAGTGCTTGCAGATCCAGTAGTAGTAACGGCTCCACCGGCGCCTGTTGGAGAAGTAGTGTTTGCGTATGCTTCCTTGAGGTACGTGTATTGTTCAGTGGTGGAGACGGTTCCATCGGTGATATCCACGAGACCATATCCGTTACCCTCGTTAGAATATTCATATACAAGACCTCCAGAGAAAACGGCGGTCATTTCAGTGCTGTATAAAGCGGCTATTTCGGTGAACTTTCTGGTATTGGTAATGCAACCAAACTCGGACATGCTTTGAGATTTGTCAGATATTTGAATTTACAGTTATCAACACAAGATCAAAATGATAGACTTACAAGAGAGGAATACTGTAGCCAGTGTAATTTTTGATGAGAGTATCCCAGCCGGATGTGGTCATAGAAGAAGGATCGCACCATGAATAGTCATTGATTGCGTAGAAATCGGATCGTTCATCATCGGTGCCGCAGTTTAAGTACTCGGCAAGTATATATTGGTTAGAAGCAACGTCTGCAGCCGAGTAACCGACAGGAATGGATCGGTAACCCCGGCTACCAATGTATTCCTTCATATCTCGAACGATAGCCTTGACATAAGGAGCACAATTGGTGTTGTTCACATCGTTGATGACTTCATTACCGGAGAGGAAAGCAAGAGTATTGGTGTAATTCGCGAACTTGTCAATAGTGGCAAAAATGGATTGAAGGTAAACACTGTTGTACGATTCTTTGGGTTCGTTTCTGTTGAGAGAGTATAGAGGGGTATCGGTATCGAGGACAAGATAGATACCAGCATCAGCGAGGTACCCCATGCATTCGTCGTGGTCCGCAGTATTGTCGACAGCGTAAACTCTGATTGTATTGATTCCTAGTTCTTTGAAATACTCGACATCTCTCTTGCATGCAGTTGCATTAGCAATGGGATCGGAAGTAGTACCAGTTCCTCCACCTGTTTTCGAAGATTAGCTATAAAGCCTTTCTGAAGGCATCAATAGTTTTACCTGGCTGATAGTCGACACCACGAATATAGAAACGATCGCTACCCTTGTAGAAAGCTGAAAGCAGTCAATATTAAGGCCACGAAGTAGTATTTGAAAGCATACCATTTCCCGAAATCGTAACAGCCTCAACACTTGCAGTAGATGAAGCTCTTGCTGCCAACACAGGAGTGCCAGTAGCTGCAGTCATACCAAAGGAGGCAACTGAGGCAAAAAGCCCAAATATCGTACTCTGCCTCATCTTGTAAAATAAAATTCAGGTTGAAGAAAGAAGTAGAAAAATTGAGAAACGATCTATGATTTTTACAAAAGCTAATGATGAGAAAAGAGATATATTGAGGGTAGTGAGTGTGGTTGATATAAGATTCAGCCTTACAGATGCCAAGGAATGGATCTATAAGTAATGAATGTAATAAAAGCGAGAGACTGGAAACACTCGACAAGGGGAGGAAAGAGCAAAGGAAACAATAGGTATAAAGAGGAGAGGAATAAAAAGAAGTTGCTCTGAATGGCGTGGCAGGTAGAACTTATCTTGTTAAAAATGGTATTTTCCACATGAGGAATAACTTCTGATGTTCCAACTTCCAACCAGCGAACCTTCGTATTATTACGCGTCTCATCCCTCACGGTCCCGAAGTGGTACATCGACCCGTTCTTTTCGCCAACCCCAAGCGATACCATAAATAGAGATTCACTAGCTGACCCACCATAATTCTCGAGGCTATGTCGATTCACGTGATTGGCCGTCATTTCAATTGGGAAAGACATGGCGAGCTAATTTCCAAGAGATGAAGACTTCCAGTCCATCAAAATGTGTCGACCGGGTTCAACAATGCAATCATGTTTCATCGGAAGCGTATCGAAAGATCCCTCAAGGTTTGATAGTGACTTGGTACTTCCGGACACATTCTCCCCAAAGAAACCGCTTACACGGTTAGACAGCCAATCAAGAAATCTGATGCCATATGATGAAAGCACAGTCAATGTGTCATTGCAGCATAAGATTCTGACCTCCCGAACCACCTTAGAAACCAGAGAGATATTTGTAAAGTAGTAATGGGCGGTACATTGACATCAGGTCATAAAACCATCCGCTATGCCTGTAAAACGAATTGTTGAGGACTTGATACGAGATAATCTGTAGCTCGTAATTTGGCAACTGTTTCCATGCAAGACAATAATGTCACCGTTAGAATTCGGTTTCCAGGGCGGGGAATAAATGTAATCGACATTTGAGAACATTTAGAGGGTTTAGTATTATGGGCCCATCGCTGCAAGGACCAATGTAGTTCTAAGTTGAATTTTTACAGGGAAATCTCCTGACATCGCCCCACAGATTCGTTGTAAGATAAAACCCAAAAGAAATGCTGGAGTCAAACTACTCTGTGCAGCGAGTAAAAGACTCAATGAGATCTGATGCATTGAACTCTCTCTTTCCATTCCTCCTATAGTATGACAAGATGTTTACCAAATTCAACGTATTGGGATGAAGTAATGTACATGTAGAAAGCCACAAGAAAAAATACAGCAGTGCAGTCCTCATACCTTCTGGAAATCCATTTCCAGTATTTGGAAAATCACTGCAGATTATCGTTTAGTCTAGACAGCTCATATGAGCCATGATTGATTTTGGGGGGTTGCTAGTGGAGCCATGAAAATACCTTGAGAAAAAGGAGAATTTGGGAATGGATGATTAAGCTGACGCGTGTCATGGAAACTTATGATCGACTTCGACTTCCTTGTGCATACCTAGTATGGTAATTTGTCTTAATAAACTTTCACAATCTACTGAGATTGACATGAGATTGACATGGAACTGAGCTTAATCTTGCTGAAATGCGTCGCTAATGTGGAAATAGAATGCTTCGCTGAGGTCTAAATGTGGCCATGAATTGTTTCAAGGTTCCTGTCAGCATACTTACAGTAGACAGCTCATTAACATAGCCTGCCCAGTGTACTTATTGTGGGCTATGATGCATTGCATTGCCATCTATTCCATCTGAAATGGATTCTAAGAACTCCCGTTCAATCAACCGGAGTTGACAAAAGGATGCAAATAGCGTTAATGGTCGAGGCCTGAGGATTGTCTGACTTTGAAACGCAGTGAATGGTGACCGGGCCTTGAGGTTATTGGAACATATCGGACAATAGGATGATAGGACGATAGGACGATAGGACATTCTCAATAGCCATACGAGGCAGAATATTTTGAGAAGACACTGCCTAAGACTTGAGATGCCGCCCAAAAGGATCTAACTGCCGGACAGACTTTTATCCAGTTTCTTCATTTCATCGCTCGTAAGTCGCGAATTGCTAGATTTCAGTGCTTGCCGTGCCTTGAATGATGATGTAGGGAAACTGTAGGGCAAAGAGCATTGTTCCATCCGAAAATAGTAACAGCAGCGACGATGAGGATCCTTCGAGTCCTCCAACACGACGAAAAAGTGTATTTTGACTTGTATTACAGGAAGAGCATCAAGAAGTAGAGAAGAGAAAGATCGATTGTCGTTGAAATTTGTTTTATCCCTATACCAAATGCCAAGCAGCCAAGCATTTCGATGCCGTACCTTCTTCTCCTGCCAAAATTCGAGATCACGTGATCATAATTTTTATGGATGAGCTAAATGTATTGACTGTTCTGGCACAACCGCTAAATCTGGTTTGTTTACGCTGCACCAAGCGAAGAGCTCCACGAATTTAATGCAATGCAGACCGCTATTATATCTTTGATATTAAAGTGAGATATATTACGATAACATGTTGTTATCATATCAACTTTGCGGGGGATCAACAAAATGTCCGTCTCAACCTTTAATCCTCTTGGGCGATCCCGAAGTCTTCGAACTTCGACAGCCTCAAGCAACTTGAGGCTCCCTTCAAGCACCAACTCACAACCACCCTCTGGCCCCTCATACGTTGCTCTTTTCATAACGAATCTTCGACTTCTGGATCTCGATTTGCGAGATGACTGGCCAGATATCACGGCGGTAACATTCTCTACCAAGGATGCGCAACAGAATCAAAAGAAACGAATACAGAGTGTAGAGTGGGCACTGTTTCAGCTATTTGCAATTTGGGATCCGGAAGAGACTCGAAATGTACATTAATGCCTTTCATTGTCACTTTGGAATGAAACAAAACAGCTAACTCGTGTCTATAGAAATTACAACCATTTTTCCCACCACTCGAACCTCTCCAGTCCCTCAATCTGCGCACCGCATTGTTTCGATGTCTCGACCAGGCCAAGAAGAATGGAGTCCTTGGACGAGATACTGTACTGCGGAAAACTATGTTGGACGAATGCAAGGGTGAAAGGCTGGAGGAAGTTTTGGCGGTATTTTCAAACGCTGTTCTGAAAAGGGTCGTGGAGGATGACACCTCTGGACGATACGAAGCTCTTGCCCAACAACTGGCACTGGAGAACTTCTCATACACAGGAGAAAGGACAATACTATCGGCCTTGATATTGGCACACAAGAAATCTTTGGGCAAGCATATTGCTGAGAAGAACAATTTAAGAGCCAAATATAGCGACTTTTCTGAAACACTTGAGCTCAATGATCAACAAACTCTAAAGCGACGGGAAGATCTGAACCATGAGATGAATGAAGGAGAAGGCCATACTGGATTATCCGATAGAGATCTAGGATCATTGCAAAATACATTCCGCAAGAATTGGTCTGGTAGTAACGAGTGGCTGGAAACGATTCTTTACGGAGATAATAGGCCCAGTAGAGAGGGACTGCTGGCCAAGCGTTTTGATGAGCTTTGGGAACAGATTGAGAATGGTACTGTTGCAGACATAGAAGGAAAGAATGATACCGGGCTCGTTAAACGGCTAGAGGCGCGAGTGCAAAATCAAGAGAGCCGTTTAGCTAGATGGCAAGAATTCGGACGGACTTTGACTCGAAACGGTACCAAATCACCCACCAAAAAGGTGCAGGCAGTTCCTGTCGAGGAGAAGGGCATCAAACTTGGTTTCAACGACCACCAGACATTACAAATCGGGAAGTATTCTACAAAGGATGCCAGTTCCGTGAACATCCCCATTCTAGATGAATATGCTCGTTTAATGGAAAGAACTCGCAATGCGTTGAATGATGTATCCAAGCAAAAGGCGTTTTCCAAAGAAAACATCATACAGGGTGGCTCGAATAAAAGGCTCAACCAGCCTTCTATTGATTTAGCCAAAGAGTCATTGTCACCAAGTAATCAGGATGGGGACATATCTCCATCAGCCAATGTATCTCCCGACCATTCGCCTGTCTCGGTGGGAATTCTTGATGCTGCCGAGGTTTCTACTTCTCGTAGTCGCGAGAATGAATTGATTAGTACACCGCGTTCGAGAATATCCCACAGACCAATTCCCATTGGGTCTTCATCAATCATTCTGCCTGAACAGGCATCGGACGATCTCGGTGTCGCTAGTGAGAAATTATATGAGGCCACAACTGTAACATCGGCTATCAAAGACGACTATATATCTGCCACTCCAAGCGCTATGAGATCATCCCGTCGCCCCGTCTCTTTTGACAAAGACCCAGAACGTGAATTTGGAAGAACCTCAGCTGAGACTCCCGTATCAATCACGAGGAGACATACAATGATATCACAGCCGAGTCCATCTCCTTCTAAATCAATTCAGGCCTCTGAAAACCCTCTCGGACCTGTTCCGGAGCTCAGCCAAGCAGAGCAGATTTTGAACTCTATGTCAGCTGCATCCCCATCGCCACAAAAGTTGAAACGCTCGTTGTCTTTAGCAGAACGTACCCGTCTTACCATGGCTCGTTCGAACCCACGATACTCGAAATCCAACCTTAACGATGATTTTGATGATTTGCCAGATATGGATCGCCTCACTCTAAATCCTAAGTCTAGAGCCACACCTGTCAAGTCTTCGGTAACAGAAGAAGAAAAACATGCGGACTTGATAGAACGTACACGTCAGTCTATGGCAGGCTTTGAGGCAGCCCAAAAGAAGGCACAGTTAGAGCGAAGGCAAAGTATCAAAGATGAAAAGAGGAAACAGCGACAATCACATTTCCCAAAGGTTGTTCAAGAGGAAGAAGATTCGTTATCTCCCGCCACGCCAGCAATTGATCGAGAGGTGTTGATGGATGGAAACGATGTCGATTATGCCAGTGTTTTCATGAGTAGACCGAGAATTGCTGTTAGTCCGACTCCAGCGAAGGATAGGATGATATCATCTATGATTGAAAGCGAGGATGATGAATCGGAGGACATGGATGAGGGTATGAGGATGGGTGTGGATGCGGATTACAAAAATGCTTTCATGAGTAGACCAAGAATCGCTTTGAGCCCGACGCCGGCTAGGAATAGGAGAATCATGGATAATGATGTGCAAGAGGAAGGAGAAGCAGAAGCCGTAAATATGTGGCATGATCTTTGAGCAGCATTGAGCAGCATTGAGCAGCCACAATGTTTATGACGAATCAAAGAATGGCGTTTTTGTATCACAACGGCTTACGATTAATGAGAAATGAAATTCGTTATGAATGCCACACCTTCCTATTTCGTTCAATTCAGATTCTAGTAGGGCTCAGCCAATACTAATACTCTGCCATGGTTACACTTATGCCCTTGTGAGTTTATCAGGATTGAGCCTGGTCGACTGTTAAAGCGATTGATCTGAGAGGGGACGAAGAATGATTTACACACCAAAAGAGCGAATTAAGTAGAACATTTTTAATTGACTTACCCACACACATTTTGAGCCGCCAAAAAATAGTGAATTTATTCTTTCTTCACCTCCCCTCTGACATCTGTAGAGACATTCTCTTCAATTCCCTCGATTGGTATATGCAAGCTGACCTTTGGTTCATTTCTCAATGTAGCAAGATATATTCGCCACCTTCGACAACACGGCGTTTCTTACTTGACGGCTTTCAATGTTTGTTGTCTACTAACCATTGGCGTTCAGAAATATGGCATTCCGATCCAATATGAATTCTTCTTCAACTCCGTCCCATCAAACTGTCGAATTCTCCCTTTCTAACAATTTTAAGCCATGTGTGAGGGTTCCATGGATCAAATCACGAATACTGGGGAAGAAAGAATCGCAGGCTAGCGTCGCGGTGTTAATTCCACCCTCGAGTCTGAATGATCTGCTCACTGATGACATTCGATATGTATGTTGCAATGAGACAATTTCCGTGATTTCTATGCACCAGATTCGCCCAGGATACTTCAGTACACTGCTTCTCAACTGTTTCGACATCAAAAAAACAAAAAACCCCCCACTTGCAAGAATGGACCGCGTCTCTGGGGTCGGTGATATGACTTCTAGTTTTTTTGGGGGGCTAAACAATAGCTCAATGTTAAACTAAGAGTTGGTTTGTGCTTTGTTAGATCCATGTATCGTCGATTGTTATACCAACAGCCGCCTCCCGTGAGGCAAACAGCAGGAACCATGTGTGACAATCCACCATCTCTCGTACAATTAGAAAAAAGTAAGAATCGCTTTGCAACTGCATCTTCACAAAGCTTGTGATAATTAGCGCAAGCTTTGTGCAGTTTATATCATGATGGGGGCAATCGTGGGGGGGCAAATGACGGGTGTTGATGCACAATCATGGAATTGGAAGTATAAGTTGTGCTCATTTCCCGACCATGAGTGTTCAGGGACAGCATCTTCATTCGGGAAAATCTAGTCTGAGGACTTCTGGGGTATCAGCTGTCTGATCTGATTCAGACCACTTTGATCAATTTACCTTCCTTTCTTCTCGATTTAGACTTAATTTAATAGGTTAAAATCCGTCCTTCGACATGGTTAAACTAGTTGACTGCTCGAAATGCTGCAAGAAAGAAGCACATGAATACAAAGTGGTGGCATGCAATGAACTTTACCCACTGTACAATCAACAGATGTGCGACAACTGCTTCGAATATACCGAACCTCCGCACGAAAGTAAGAATTGCATAGAAAGCGTTGGGAAAAGTTGTAAATCATGCGGCCACGCTGCATGCCCAAAGAATAAATGCCCCCAGCTGGGTGGGTTGAAGATTTCTGAGATTGGGCAAGATATTGCAGATAGATTCACTCCCGACGCGCGAGATGCATGGTTAAAAGAATATGGACCCCAGTCCAATGCAGCATTAAGAGCAGCGTCTCAAGCTTCAGCTAACACCGCTGGACAATCAAACCCTCTACCAGAGCCTCTTGACGATAACAGAACGATGGAAGAGAAACTTCAAAGCTCGTATGATGAAGAGTCTCGAGGAATCCCCAAAGCCGAGAGCCAAACTTGGGATCAATCTACTAAGATTAACGCGAACTTTTACAAAGTCGGTCTGAGAAGCGATGCGCAGATCTTGAAATACTCGATTTGCCTTGGTAGAATCATTTCTCGCGGAAAGCCCGAAGGGTTCGTACCTACACGACCAGAAACCAAGCGCTATCTAATCACGCGGCTTTTCGAGGAAAACAAAGATCTATTCGAACCAATCAGCTGGGCTACCGACTATGACTCCTTTATTGTCTCTAATGAACCACTTGGGAAGCATGATTTGAGCAAGATCGGACTCTCTATTCCAACACCACATACACGCAGCGGACCCGATGGTAACCCGATCAATATGAACTCTTCATTGTCATTCCTTGGATTGGTTAATGTCAAGGCCTTGATAGACCATGTCAAGTCCAGGAATATACCCCTCGACCACCCTGAAGAGGAATTGAAGTTCCTCAATATAATTTCTTGGAAGAAGGTTAATTCCCCTCAGTATGAAGGAGGTCGTGTGGGCAAGAAATTCTATCCACATAGCTTTGAGGCTGATGACAAAGAATGGATGTCTGAACAACGATTAAAGCAGAGGAAAACTGTTCTATGCTTCAAAGATAACGACAATGTGCCTTTGTATCAGATACACCGTGGTTTCTTCAGCTCAATGAGGCCTGGGAAGGGCTCAATTTTGCTTAATGTTAACGTGACAACATCTGCGTTCTTTTCTCCGATCAATCTCGCCGAATGGATAAAATCAAACCCGAAAAGTTGGGGTAATTCTGAAAGACTTCTAAAGGGGGTCCGTGTTGTTTTCGACATTCATGAAAAGAACAGACAAAAAGTCTTCAACATCAAAAGTATCGCGTCGCATAGTGTGTCAGAGACTAAGTTTATGAAAGATGGTACAGAGATGTTAGTTCATGCTCACATGAGTGCTAGTAAGTCCTTTCACTTGGTTGTTGTTTATGAGATCTCAATGTGTTGACAGTCACCTAGCATACCATGAGACTGCGTTCGACAAAAATGCCCGGTGCATCAACGTGGGAAGTATGGAAGATCCAACTTGGTTTCCAGCAGATCATTTGAAAATTGTTGAATGGCAAATTGTTAAGAAGAATCTACCAGAGCCTTATGTTGCTGCTATGATTGATGCCACCAAGACTCCTCACCAGAGTATAGTTGCTATCAAGGAGACGGGATTGGCAGAATTGGGCTTCCTCGAGAAGAGCCCCTTCTACAAGGTGAGAAGAGTATTGCATATATTATAGAGGCTTATTATTTTAGTGTCTATCCACTGACCTCGTCCACTGAAACTAGACATTTGGAATTATACCAGACACAAACCTTGTCGAGATTAAAGCGGGAGCCCTTGATCCTCCGACATTACTACTTCGCGAGAAAAACGAAGCTCTGGCCCGTGACGGTGCTTGGGACATGAAATCCAAGCAATGCCGGGAACCGGGTATTGAAAACAAGACTCTTTACGTTCTGTGGCTGAGACATGATGAAATTCAAGAGCAAACGCAGAACGAGATGGAAGAAGCTACTCATACTTTAGCTAGATCTCTAGAGGAATTTGGACTTAATCATGTTGAGGAACGCGTCTTTTGTCAAGCAATAGTTCCCGAAGAAAAAGTAGACTCCGAGGTTTATCGCCAAAACTGCGCCAAAACTTTCGAAAAAGCCCTAGGATCTGTCTTTAAAGGCACTGGAACTGTGCCCTTGATTCTGGTTGTGCTCCCAGAACGAAATCGCAAGCTATATCCAGAGATCAAGAGATGGGGAGATTGTGATAAGGGCATTCCGACAGTTTGCGTGGTGCGAAGAAAGCTTTCGGGTGGAGGGGACCGCGCTAGATGCGGTAATATCAGGTGTGTCACAATGTACCACCATTTCCAGCATGAAGATCTACTAACAATGATCGAATAGCTTAAAGTTCAATCTCAAATTGGGAGGCATCAATCAACAAGTGTGGAATGGGTGTGGAACCAAGTCCCGGACTATGGTTGTTGGAGCAGATGTCACACATCCTGGCAATGAGGAAGGATGTCCTTCCATAGCTGCTGTAGTGGCTACCGACGATTACAGCCGATTCCAATATCTCGGCTCTGCACGACTCCAGGAAGGAAAACAAGAGGTACGTGAACTCGTTCATCTTATGCCCTCTGCATTGCTAACATATGCCCCTGAAGTACATTTCGGACCTTCGAGGCATGATAAAAGAAAGACTTCTTGCCTGGGCCGAACATGCTTTGGAAGGCATAGAACGAGGGCATGGTGGCATATATCCACGTATTATTCCCGATCACATTCTCTTCTACCGAGACGGAGTGAGCGAGAGTCAATTTGGCATGGTTCGGCATCACGAGAAACAACAAATTTTTGATGGATGCTCTGACGCATACATGGAACTAAAACTCAATATCAAGGAAAAAGAATTTCCTGGCGCCTTGCAAAAATTAGCCAAAGGTGAGACATGGAAACCTAAACTCACCCTTATCGTTGCAATCAAGCGACATCATGCGAGATTTTACCCTTTGACTCTAGTGGACGATGATCCAAATTTGGGTGCTGGAACTATTGTCGATTCGGTAGTCGTGACACCCAATCACTTTAGTTTCTACTTGCAGAGCCATTGCAGTCCACTCGGCACGGCCAAAAGTACTCAGTATGTTGTGATCTACGATGATCTTAATTACAAGAAAGACCCAAAGGAAATCATGAATATTGTGAGTTTCCTATTGATTTCGAGACCCACACCACTAGATGCACTAACTGATTGTACACAGACAAACAAGCTTTGCTACACCGGCTCTCGCGCTTCCAAAGCTCTCTCTGTCTGTACACCAGCCCGCTACGCAGATATGCTGTGCGATCGCGTGAGATGCTATTTGAAGCCTGTATTAGAGGGCTATCACGATGAGAAAATCACGGATGATATGGTTGGAACACAAAGAGTAGCTGTTTATGGAGAGAATAAGCTCGTTTGGAAACCAATTGCTACAAAAGAGCTACCAGATGGGTGGAAGAATCCTTGGAATCCATCGATCAGCAAGATAATGTTTTATCTTTGATGTGGAAGGCTTTCTACAATGCAGATTCGGGCAGGAAAGTGGCGTTTGGGTCTAGATTCTGGTGTTCATGCATGATTTTCATTCCGATGTGGCGAGATTTTGATTAGTACTTTTGGCATAAAATTAGAATGAATATGAGACATTTTTTTTCGGGATGGAGAAACATAAAGAAGTAAACACAAGCTCCATTGGCCCAGAAAACATGTGTCACGTAGCTCATTAGAAAATTAAGCGAGCTCAGGATTCCCCTTGCATCACCCGAGAAACACTTGTTCCCCGTGAGTCGATAGATCACATTCTCCCATGCAAAACATACAGAAAAGCAATACTTCAGGCTTAAATCCAAGCTCAGCCTCAAGTACCCGAAGTCAAAAGTCCCACTTAATAGCTTGACGTCTTCATCAAATCCTACAGCAACATTCACAATGTCAATTCTCAACACCAATGCCGTATTTTTACTCTCCCTCGCCATCCAGTACTTGGTTTTCCTTGCCTTCATAACCACATGCGCAATGGCCGTCACTGGATCCGATCAAACATGGTTCGTAACCCCACGATCCGCAGACCCCCAAACTCTAAATTCTAAAAACCTAAAATAACATCTCTCTCTAGGTCTATTGTAATATCTCTATGTCTTCTGTGTTTATCATACCTAGTACCGACCATGCAGCAAATCATAAAAGTCTTCCACTATCAGCGCGGAAACTATCAGTTCCTTCCAAGGGAGAAGCAAATAGCTACCCAAAGCATCATTCTACGAGAAATGATCTGGAGGGAAATCCCGAAATGGTTGACTGCTGGATGCATTTTATATTTGATGTGCAAGATTGATACAAAGAGACTTGATCAACTAACTATGCCTTATTACATTGCAATGTGTGTGGAAATAGGGATACTTGTATGCGGATGTTTGACTGATATCGTGGGGCTGTGGATACTTCATTCGGAGGGGATTGAAATGTTCGGAAGAATTTACGGGGGTGGTGTAAGAGAGGTATTTGTGCCACTTTCACATTCATCATTGTCATCGCCCTCGTCGATCAATCCGCAACCACAGCCTCCTTCCTCGCTGGATGACTCTCGAATGTCGTTCTTGTCCTCTTCATCGGTGTCATCGAGTTCTTCGACTGTCGTCGATCAAAGCTCATTGAATGCAGACTTGAGTGCCGGAAATAAGGATTTGGAGAAATGACACAAATCGATATCTCGCATGAACCAGAGAATCAATAACTGCGAGAAAATTTTCAGAGGACATATGTACAAATATAATTTGCACCGAGGACGGTTATGGTCAAGCAGTTTGGATAATTCACGCAAATGGAGAAGGTTGAATTCACTTGAGCAAAGTGTAACAATGAAACTCGCGATATGATAGCGATCAATTGACTCAACAACATTTGACTCAAGTGCCAGGCGCTGCAGTCTTACAGATTTTCTTATGCTCTTTCCAGTCTGCCTTCTGACACACCGGACTACAATACCTCACTCCTCTACATCTCGCGCATTGCTTATACACCGTGTCTCCTTGTGGGATATCGCCACATTTCTTACATCCTCTGGAGTCAACTACACCGAGTTGATTAACCAAATTCCGTGTTATTTCATCTATGTGAGAATTTGGCGAGGTCGACATTGAGAATTTTCCTTTTCCATAGTTGTCATGTTCTTCCTGCGAATAATGAGCTTCAACATAATCCACCGTTGATAACGGCATAAGAGCGATTCTTGTTGCATATCTACTAAGCGTTTCCCATCCTTCAACCCGCGGAAAGCCTTCTACATCTTCTCCTTCGCCGCATGCGCAGATTGGTGACTGATTCGATTCAGTGTACGAGGATACTAAGCCATATTGACGGTATTTGCATCCTTGACCGTGGTCCCAGCCTTTTCGACATGCTTCTACGGTTGCCGGAAGCATTCGTCTCATTAGTTGCTCGTCTACGTCTCTCATACCATAAGAAATTGGCTGAGTGCTTTTATGAGCTAGTAGTTTCTCGATTACGGGAGTGAGTGGGGAGAATTCGGCTGTAAGCGGAAGTACATATGCATCCAGAACAACCGAGCTCTGATCTATATTGTGTCGCAAAGCCGAGACAAAGATGATCATTGAGGTATTACGTGGGACACCAGAATCAAACAAGAACGTCTGCTTTCGACCCAGACGAGATGGTTGAACAAAGGAAACCGCCATATTATGGATGTAGCTTTTGATTGAGAATAGAGCAGGAGCATCTTCTTGGAGACCAACATCAGATCCCCGCCAGTACGAGCGTTCTCGTGCGCAGAACATGCTATGCATGAGATTCGAAATCCATTCGGCAGTTTCGCGGCCAGTGCCAGATATGATTGGCTGCTGATTTATGTTTACTTTGGGAAGTGTGAGGGGGTAAGCGTCTGAGCCATTCAACACAACTGGAAATGGATTCAGTGTGTAGCCTGTATTATCTAAAGCTAAACTCGGCTTAGCAACCAATGTTTTAACCTTGTTCGAAGTATCAATTATCGCTTTGTGGAGTGTGATCGGATATGGGAATTGGACCTGTCCGACTTCAAAGCCGTTGAATCTTTCGGAAATAGTGCAAGGAGATATTTGACGAGCTCTGATGGCACTTTCGGTTTCCAAATACTCAAAGTTCTTTTGAATTTCCATGGTCTCGACTGAAATACCATCTTTCATTCCGACAAAGCAAGGTCTTTTAGAGGCAGAAGGTGTACGTAGAGAGCCTGCATGATCTGTTGCAAAAGGTCGCAATCTGACTCCTGGAGGTTCTCTTAGAATCAAAACATTATCCTCGTCAAAGCTATAGCTACATATAGCCTCGTCGCACATATAGTCCGCACTCAGCTTGTTGCTCAAACATGCTAACTCTATTCGTGTGGATTCTGTGGACTCTATCATCAATACCAAGGAGGGTACAGCACATGTCACAATTAAGTCCGATGTCCCCTTCAAGCCCTGTTGATCTTCAATGACATCGTAAGCATCATTATCGTCAGCTCGTTGGACCAGACTACCAAAAAAGCACTGAAGACAAATGAAGATGGCCTCGGTCTTACTTTTTGTATGCCGGATTTTGATCTGTAGCCCAACCGTGGCATACTCGTTATCTAGCTTCAATGCCTCAAGAGTCTCGTGTGAAACGCTCAGAGAGATCCAAATCAGACGGGGAAAGTTATTGTGATCAAGTGGGTTCCCATTGGCTTCTTCATTGGGAAAACTCAATGGACCATTTTTGAATTCTTTCTGGTTTGCGAGCATGATTTGATGAGGTATTTCCAGTAAAGAGGGCCGAGAACAAATACCCAGTTGGCAAAAGTGTAAAGACAACTCGAGGAGTTGGAGACCACCGACACGCAACCTATCCTCGTTTTCGATATGTCCGAGAAGACAGTCCCCAAAAGTTGACAGCTGATCTTTCTTGACACAACCTTTCGCTAGGCAAACAAGAGCGGAAAACCCTAGGCGACTGTATCTTAGACAATGCATTTCTTTTCCGCTAGTTGGAGACATGGACTCAATTTCAAACATCCTCAGGTAGAGCTTGAAGAAGAAAAGGGCAAGTTCATGCGGTTCAAAGATCAATTCTCTACCGGCTGGATCGTCTAGATTTGGGTATCTCCACTCAACTCGCATATGATAACTATCATTATTATTTCGATGCACTGAGAATTGCCGTTGGGCATCCAGTCCAACGGCATATGTGGTAAAGCCGAACAAGTGACCGGATGGCGCCAGCCCCAGAAGCAGTGAGAAGGTTGTGATATCGCAACACAGAATATGAGATAGGATTTCAACTGGATCTTTGGTATACAAAGACAGCGTCTCAGTAAACATGACTGAGGTTGCCTTGCGAGACAATAATGGCGCTATAGCAGGCAGCAGATTTAGAATGCCAAGGGGATCAGCCAGATTATTGGTGTCGATGACGTCAAACGTACGAATACCGCTTGCTATACCAGGATCGTCTAGATCCAGTGGAGTTGAACGCCATGCCGTGGTGTACATACTGAGCAGTTTTGTTTCTGGCGTTACATTACCTCCTAAGCTTTGTAGCGCATAAGAGAATCTCAAAGCGTCGCCGCAATAGAGGCGTATGGCTATTCCTTTCTCACGAACCCTTTCCCCAAAACTCGCGCACCACTCCTGGAATTGAGCCTTTGCTAGCATCACAACGGCCTCGGCTAATTCCTCTTGAGAAGAATTCGAATCATCGAAGGCGCTTGCAAGACGAAAGCCCAAAAGAGGATCCGAGTTTGAAGAGATCGCAAATGCATTCCCTGCAGAAGTAAGTGCCATCAGCGGATTCACAAGTTGGCCGTCATGTTTCAAAGCTTCCACATCATGCGAGTTTCCCGCGATTACACCATGGTCCCAAAATCCATCAAAAGCATTGACAACTGTTTGGATGGCACTTTCCCAATTCCCACCTGCTGAGCGAAGAGCAGATGCATACTGTTTCCGGCCACGGAAATCCTGGACCCCGATATCCCTATTCGTAACATATTGCTCTCGCCTGGTTAAATTGACCTCTGATTTAAACTTTGTTTCGAGGTGATCTCGTTCCTTGGAATCTGACCTAAGATTTGCGACCTCGAGATACTGAGACCACATTTCTCGAACTTGATCCAACGTGTCTTGGTTCATGAAACAGATCGATGCGCCATAGCTGGAAGACGACCACACTTCTAAGTTCGCCGATTGTTGAAGAAGCTTGCGAATCTGTTTCTGCAGCACGGCATTGTCGGTGTTAGTTATGTAGAAATGGTAAAATGTATTCCAGATTGATGCGTTGGATTCGTTGTCGATGATGAGCGAAAAAAGAAGAATATTGCGCGCTATATGAAAGGTTCATATTAATGGGCGAATCTAAAAGGAAGAGGGATGGCGGGGACTGTCTTACCCAGAATTGCACTCTCTAAGTCGCAACACATGAACACCCATTTTATCGCTTCATCTATAGAACAGAGCATTAGTAATTGCGCATAATATGAATCAAATCTTGAGAGAACATGCTGCCTCCCTCACCTTTATTGCAGCACAGGGTAAACAACAAGTTTCTGGGATCACCACAACCCAGCAACAATACTCTTACCGCATCATCCTTCTCGCAAGCAGGACGCCGAGACTGTAACAAATTGATTGCTGGAGTATTTCCAAATGGGTATAAAAATGGCTTTACATTGAATCTAGTCGGTCCTAGCATTTTGAAGAGTTGTCAGATCGTGGAAGAGGAGCAACGGAGGGAAAGGCAATATCTTGTGAAGTCCAGGGAAAGTCAGTTTTAACTTGACCAAGCGAATTGCCGACTTATTTATTTCTCTCAACCGGAAATCCCATAAGAGTTTCTTGTGGCCATGGGAAGAAATGCAAACAATTTTATATGCTTTTACATTTCCGCTAAAGGGATGGGCCAAAGACGTGGTTTCAGAAGATGTGTTCTAGTGAATTGAGACGACACCCCCCAATGAGATGCACAAAGATAAATCAAAGAACGGAATTCACTTGAATTTATCAATTGATTTTTCCTTGGGTGACATGATCTGTGATCTTCATTGTATAGAATAGCCATGGAAAGCTCGCAAACAAAACAATAGAAGTCCTTAGCCACGCATGGAAACAACCCTAATAGGTACCAAACATGGCCTTTCAAATGTTAGTTTGCATCTTGTCATAAGTATAACAATGTTTGTTTCATTGTTGAGTTGCAGCATCTTCTTTGACTATTCAAGCCTCACTGATATCCTGAGAGAAGATGTGACTTCCACATGTCTCCATACTCTCTGTGTATCTTCAGATTGCCTGCTCCCTTTCTTTGAAAGTCTGAGCAGTCAATAACCATTCAAGAACAACATGTTTTTGAGATAGAATACAATTACATATTGAAACTTTCAAAGCACTCAAACAATGTATGATCACTCAGTAGTGATTTTCAGATTTATCGGTGCAGTTTTGCGGTCAAATCCAGGCAAGCCAGATTCGAGGGGCATGCCTGTTCAGATGTATATCAGGTTGAATCTTTGAATTACAGATAGATATATACAGCTATTTGATAGTATATAGTCACCTAGCAGTCAAGTAACATTCGCGAGAGTGAAGACGGTCTAGACAATCAGTTCGCTGTAATCGTTCCATTCACACAAGTAACCCCCATGCCCCCCACCCCTTCCAACCCCGTACATACTTCTCCCGCCGTAGTCCCATTCTAGAAATCCATTAGTAACGAAGAAGATTCGCAAATATTTGTAGTTGACTTACTGCAGTAGTCAAATCAATGCCCTCGAAGTGGAAGTCCTCGCAGTGAGCGCTATCATGACAAAGTAGATACAGCCCATTCTTTGGCGATTCATCTATACACCATTAACCTACAAATTTCCTATGCACCGAAGGTTGACTTTTCAACAAGATCAAAGCGGGAAGACTCACTGGTAGTAGCATACCAACACGGGTCACTCACACAACTCGCATCCCCAACCACTGCCGCCACAGTCCCATTGATTCCCTCCCATGTAAACCCCTTCGCATAAGCCGCAAGACTAGTATCCGTCCCGCTCGGAATACCCTTTTCCTGATCATAATAATCCTCAATAAAATGGATAGGGTAACTAACATTCTTCACCTCGATATTTCTCCACGTCACATTACTCACATTACACGTTGTACCTATCGCCCCCTTGAATCTCGCTGCCATCAAACTGTCATAAATATACGCATTCTCAAACGTGTAGTTACCGCCTGTGCCTGAAGAGCAAGAGACAGAGAGCCCATGCGTTCCGGAGGCGATGATATTGCGCATTGTGACGTTTGTAGCGGGAGGTGAGACGTTGATCACATCGTCACCATTGTGAATTTCGAACCCGTCGATTAGGACGTTAGATGCAGAGAGGTCAATTCCATCTATTCGATCATTTAATATCTCATTTTATTTTTTACAAATCATCCTCAAATGACTGTGAATGGAGGAGATACATACCAGTGTTAAAGGGAAATCCATCATTACTCCTAGCATCAATGAAGATATTCCTCATCTCGACATTACTTCCCCCTATCGAAAACACCCACGCCACAGGATTAAGAATCTTAAGATTGCGAATCACAAGATCACTTCCAAAAGAATCAGCAAAAGTCTGTCGATGAATGGAGTGCTAAAAAGGCAACATCTTAAACATACGTAACCGTAAACCCGAACCAATGCGGCCGTCCTCCTTGCACCGAGTCCCACGGACTACTCCACCATTTCTCCCCATGCGCCAAAAACCAACCACCACTCTCCTCCTCACTGCCCTCAACAGTGACATTTGTCCCCTTAAGCGTAATCCATCTTCCGGGATAAGTACGAGTATTGTTGACCACCAGCTGTACCGCCGTCACATTCTCACTCAAACTGATATTGCCCTCGAACGAAAACTTTACACTCGTAAGGTTTTTGAAACTGAGGGGAGTGAGTAGATTATACGTGACGTTTGGTTGGAAAAGAATTGTAGAGTTCGGGCCACAAAGATTAACAGCTGTCGTGATGCCTGGTGCGTCGTCGATCAAGGGGGAGGAGTTATAGGGCATGGAACATAGTTTTGCCGAAGAGAGGGGGATTGAGAGAAGCGAGAAGATGAGAAAATCGTGTAACTTCATGTTTGACAAGATACTGGACAGCTCTTGGCTTGCAATACGAATATCAACTTCAATGTTTTATAAGTCGCATTATGAATATTTCGGGACTTTTGAAATGCCGCATTGAAATTGCCTATGGGGTAAACGTATGCGGGGCATTCGGGAGATCATTCGCTAACCCTGGTAATTTTAATCAGATGTTCCTGTCATGCCCACGAATCAAATCTTCAGCTAAAAATTCATTTTGACATCCTGTGTTGCATAATGGCGTTCCACATTGATATTTAATTTCATTTGTAAGAGAAAGTGGCGAACCAAGGGAATAAAGTTTGAAGACTACTGATGGCTGCCCTGCATGACCGGGCATATTAATCCACAAATCGGATGAGTGCCCGTGGGTTCACCGACGATGTAATCATTAATTCCAAAAGCGGGTATGATGAGCGATCATTCCTTCCAGGAACACAATTTTGGCAATATCTCAAGTACTCGCCACAAATACGAATCAAAAGTTGAAAGATGCCGAAGAGTTGTGCACCTTCTAATATTTATTAATTTTTTTTAACGTACATGCTGTTTGGCAGTGTATTGCAGTCAGGGCCATTGCCTGGCATTTTCATAAATTTGTCTCGGCAATTAATTGCGATTAACAACAAGCCCCTTTTCTTCCTCAAATACAATCTTTCTCTTCCCGTAATTGATTGAGTGAACGCCGTATTATGCCTTTCAAATGCAACCTTTTGAAACCTTTCTTGTTATTGATATGGCGACTGAAATTTATGCAGACAGACCTCTCTTCTCACTCTCTGAAAAGAAAATGACCATTCTCCATAACTTCTTCACCAGAACTTCTGCTTCCTCATCCAATGCCTGTAAGAATGTTAGTAAATGTCTAAAATGATACACGAGATAAAAGCAAAAGATGATTACGTACTCCCTCCAACTGCTCCACCAGTTCTTGTGGCTTGCCCCTGGTCCTAACATGCTCCTCAACAACCTCCACAAGTAACTGTTCCTGCACTCCCAGATATTCCACAATCTTCTTTTCAACGAACGGTCTCAACTTCTCCACGATCACAGAATCATCCACAAAGTCCCACTTGACATCCCATGCCCAAAGTCCCTCTTTCTCTGTAGGTATCTCTTGTGCAAGTTGTCGAACCGCCTGATCACGTTCTTCGTCAGAAAGGCCAGCTGCTGCTGTCGAAGGATCGAATTTGATTGGGATGAGTGTGCGTTTCGATGTGTTATCGGCTTCTTCCTCATCTTCGAGGAGACCTTCAACTTCAGCGACAGTGCGACGAGGTGGAGCTGCCTTTTGGGCTTTCTGAGCCGCAGCTCCAAGGGACAACTTGAAGGGTTGTTGAGCCATGCGAGAAGATCTCGTTTCGAGTTCTTCAGCTTGACGGTCGAGGAATGAGTCTGCCAATCCTCTAGCTTGCTCTTTATCTGACGTCTCGCGGCGTCTCTCGTGTTGTTCCGCAATTCTATCTCTCTCATCGGCAGCAGCTTCGCGTTGAACATAGATTGCACGATTTCGAACCCAGAGACTTCTGTCAACATAATATGGATCAGTTTTGCGAGCAGCCTCGGCATCATCGTCCCATTCCTTGAGCCTTGCAGCCATCTTCTGTTTCAGATCATCCCCATTCACAACATCCTCGTCTTCACGTTCTTTTTCTCGTTGAACAGCTGCTGTGCGAGATTTTTCACGATTGAGCCAGCGTCTTTCTTGGTCGAGATATTGCTTCTCAAGTTCTGCCTCTTTTTTCGACTTTCTTCGTCGCTCGAGTTCCTCATCGCTAGCATCACTGTCCTCGTCCTCGCGGTTATAATAATTGTCCCCGCCGGATCCACCATTGATACCACTGCCATTAACAAATTTAACGCCAGCTTGATAGTCTCGTGGTATCTGTTGGCCCTGAAATTTAGGACCCGAAGGTGCATTAGGTACACCTCTAGGGCCAAGAGGTATATTATTCGAACCAGCAGAAGGCCCACTGGGAATTTGTGGCCCGGGGGAAGCAAGGCGTGAAGGTCGGGGTGCACCGTTTCTTTGCCTTTCTAATGCCTCCATTTCCTCCTCGCGCTTGAGACGTTCAAGGTCTCGTCTGTTACTTCTATCCCTAAAAGCAGTAATTTCTTGTGCAACCGTTTCTCTCATTTCAGCTGGAATATCCGAAAGTTCATCGTCGACTGCCAGTGGAATGTTAACAACTTCAACATTGTCACCCCCGTTTGCATCCTGCATAGCAATATCTTCTGAAGTCTCTTCAGCCTTGACGAACATAGGTGGATGAAAGAGCTCGTAAAGTACCGCCTTCAACCCTATTCTAGCCGCATCGAGACGTGTTTGGTCACCTGTAGCATCATCTGCTCTTGAAGCCTGGTGATTCTCCAAATAGTTCAAGGAATTATCATCCACAAAGACCAGTAGTTTGCTCTTCTCCACTTCATCCTCCTCATCCTTCTTAGTGCCATCAAAAGGTGGTTGTTTCTTGGTTGGAATTTCAATGTCCTTCAAAATTTCTACAGCCGTAGCCAAACTCTCCGCGTCATCATACTGCGCAAATCCGAAACTACACTCCTTCCCAGCTC